GACTGTGAGTTCTGGCCTCAGGGACCCCTAGAATCAACTGCTACAGTGACTGTGAGTTCTGGCCTCAGGGACCCCTAGAATCAACTGCTACAGTGACTGTGAGTTCTGGCCTCAGGGACCCCTAGAATCAACTGCTACAGTGACTGTGAGTTCTTGGCCTCAGGGACCCCTAGAATCAACTGCTACAGTGACTGCGGGTTTTGGTCTCAAGAACCCTTGAATTATATATTGATAGCACCAACTACATCAAGGTTTGCATTGAGGCAAGAAATGTTCCATGCTAGAAGTTTGCTTGGGATGCAATGGCAAAGATATACCAGTACATTTTAAAGGGAATGGTCTAAAAAGGTTAGGCACAAGAAAACACATAAAAATACAATAATGCTTTAAGGGATTTAAGAGATTTCAAATAAACTACAACTAAATCCGCTGAAAATATAGCACAACAATACATTAATTGATTTTCACCTTTACTTTTCTTATTTTGTAGGCTTTCTGTATGTAATTTAATAAACCGAGTAGACATTGTTTGTTAGTTGTGTTTAAAATGTGTATAAATTTATCTTTGTTTTAATTTTTGAAATTTGGATTGGAGAATAGACTTTATAAATCTTGTCTATTTTCTGTATAGAGATCACACTCAGTGATGAAATGGATTTCATCCTCAATGACGTTACATTTGTCACATTTCCTGTCCTGAATTTTTGTTTTTGGTTTTGTGTGTGTACCCACTTCTATGTACAGTTGGTGGCAGCTAATTCTAAATTTGCTCATTGTTTGAACAGCTTGCCTATCAGTTAACTGTTGCAAATAATATTCTCGTTTAGTGTCTTTTTTGAATAAACTGTACGGTAAGTCCTCAGTTTAGATTCTGTCCTTTGTATGTCTATATTCCATTTGTTTGATTTTGTTGAAGTTTAGTTTTGTAATATCCATATGGATTTGATGTTCATTCACTATTTTGTTGAGTCTTGTTAGCCAGTAATCATTTGACTTGATGACATCATAAGATGCTGAAAATTCACTCATAACTAAATTTACAGAAATTATTGGTTGTTTGCAGAGAATAATTTGGGTACAGCAATATGCCATCCTAATATGGTCAGACAATCATGTAGACATAAACACTGCCACAATTACATAAGCTGCCACAATGGAAGTTAAAATATACATGAAAGACCGGAAACAGCAATATGGCTCCTTCTTCTATGTATGGCTACAATACAGAGTAGACAATTATTTCTAATTGAGAAGACATTTTCATTATTGATGACACAATCATTGTCATATCCTTGACCTGTCTAGAAATGACTCAGAATTGTTGTCTTCATCTAACATGCAATCAACAATGTACATAAAATATTATTGCATTTTTACAACAAAAGATAATGAGACGTACTCAACATAGCCATATGGTACCATCTATCTACACAAACATAAAAAAAACATAAATTCATCGGCGCTTTTCATTGATGCTTTCTGAAATAATAAATATAATGCATTGGTATATATGAATCGCTTTTACATAATCATGACAGATGAGGAACAACCACCTGTTGAAGCGTTGGCGTCACATGTACTGTATCAAAAATAATTGAGATTAACTGAATCTAAATGAAGTACTGTAAAATACTTTATTTTCGCTGGAATTAATTTTTCAATGAAAAGACTTTGTGGGTGTTTTGTATGGAATTTATTTTCACTGACTTTTGACAAGTTGAATGTAAAATACCGGTATAGGTAAAAAGGTGTATTCGTTGGATTTGGATTATTTTTGCTGAATCATAAGAAAATAGAGAAAGTTAATTCCAAGTGAAAATAAAGTATTTTACAGTAATAGGTGCTTCATTTAATTAATTTTATTGACATTGTTCTGATCCTATCAGGTAAAAATATTACAGCAATAATTTCATTTATCACATGACCATCTACATATTATTCAAAGCTGTGAAATATCACTAAATAATACGGTATAGTAAATATCACAATATTCACGTTGTTAAACATCTGCATATCATTCAAAACTGTGAAATATTGCTAAATAATACGGTATAGTAAATATCACAATATTCACGTTGTTAAATGTCATCATTTTATGAATGTGCTAACAGTGTGCGACAGTACCATTTCTATTGCAGCGATACAAGAATTTCAGATTGGATAACAATTACTTGAATGGTGCAATGAAACTAACTTATAATATCGACTGAAACTTTATTTCACATAGATATTGATAGAAGGGTCATTTTTTTGCCAATTACTATCAGTAGTCTAACTACAGATGAGCATCCACCAATGCTTATTAGCATAAATTAGCATACTGTCCTATGATTAATACATGATATACTCTTTTGTATGATCGATGGATAGTTGTGACGTCATATAAACAAGTGATATCATGAGATACCTCATAATGTAATTTGTCATGCAAATTAGCTGATTAATATGCACAAATTAGAATCAATTGGTAGATGTCAACAGCATCTCCTCATCTGGGAAGATAAGAAGGTCATATAAAATTGTCAAAGATATTCTGAAATGGATATCCAATGTTGACATTCAATAACCTGGATGTCAAATTAATTGAATTCTTCGCTACATCACAACCTCCATCAGGGATGAGAAGCAATAATCTGTAAACAACTCTCAAATAATCAGAACATGATAATACCCAACCAATTCTGATCACCATGACAACATGACATCAATCATCTTTGTCAGTGAATAGATTCTCTAGACATCTGTTTTTGTCACAATTACAATTGATATATCACAAAGAGTTTACGCAACATATTGACCTATACTTCCATCTTGTGAATAATTCTGAGATTGTGTAATCATTTTAATGCGGCACATGGTTAGAATAATGTGAACAAACAAGGTACATCTCTCATGGGAACTATATCGACTGATATTGTGTCTCTTTAACTAGACAAGGATTATGATATTGGGACATATATTTTTTTTTTTTTTAAATTATAATTTTATGATTGAATGTAGTGTAGTGTGGGGAATGGTTTATACCCAGTTTGCATGTACACATTCTGTTGCAATGTACAGTGTCTGTATGTCTTTCTGTGTTGTCATACTCAAATTTTCATTATAATTGGCAAGTAAATGGTACTACAACAGTTTCAGAAAGTGGCACAGTGACTATTTTTATTTGGGTCAGGTAGTCCCGGGACTGACATACTGGGAGTACACTAGACAGTGTAATGCTAGATATCTCGATCAGTAGATGTTCATCTGCGGGAAATCACACTATGTTCCCACTTGTAGTTACTGGCTGATGACCTGGTTGTACAAATGATGGCTTCACATTATTTATTTTATAAGTTTATTTAACATGTAGATTCTCAATGAGCAAGGTTGTAATAGTTATGATATGTTTTTTTAATCGCTCAATGAACCATATTTACATGAATTACACATGTCTTAAAAACTCTTTTATAATAAAGTCATTAAATTCTAATGCAGGTATTTAAAAAAGTGATTGATATTAAATTGTCAAAAAACATATGTTTTGTTTTTTATATCCCCAAATCTAGACAGCTATGGCTGATGTTAAGCTTAAACAACAAAGACTTTCAGTAAAAATGAAATGCTTGAAAATATTGAAATAACTCAGAGCTTTGGGACTTTGCGAAATTTGAAAGCCTGAAAAAAAACACTTGCAATATGAACCTCAGCGGTATCTATTTTAAACAATTTTCAATTCTGTCATTTTGCAGAAACAAGTTTGTTTACCCTTATTTTATTTACTCTTTTCACTTTTTGCTCAGCAAAAATATCAAAAATTTGTATCCATTTTCACATTTTTTCCTAGTTTTCATCAAAATTAGTTAATTAGTTTTCTTGAAAAAACTTCTGAATTTGACAATAGCAGCTATATTTGTAGTATATGCACGATATGCAGGTATTGTCTGAGAGAATATCAATACACCAATATTGTGAATTTATATAGTATATCAAATAACCAATCCACCACATATTATTATTTCATTATGTAATCAAATATAATGGAAAAATCAGTCAAATTGAGAGGATAAAACAAGCATACTATGAACAACGAAAATCACAGCAACATACATGGTTATCATCAGCTATGATCTTATGCATATTTAAATAATTTCAATAGTATC